AGAGAAGTTATCAGGCGGTAGCGAAACATCGAAATGTTTGCATGATTCCCCGATAATTATATTCAGCAGATTACACAGTTATGTCCAAAAGTTCGCCAAAGCCCAAGAGTGTTTCAAATTTTGTGTAACAAAATACTTGATATAATCTATCTATAATATAATACTTAATATAATCTAGTGATATAATCTATATCACTATTTTCAAACGCAGATATATGCATGGTAGTGGGTCAACTAATCAACGATAAAAGGGCGTTGTCAGTGTTTGTTCAGTTGCAAAATTCTAACGCATTGCTACACGAATATTACGCCTGCTCATCAAGGGAAGAGAATTTATGTTGAAGATTGATACAAATTCTTTTGGTGGAGTAGAATAAAGTGAAGTAACTGGCAGGTAACGCTGGCTAGCAAATAATACTTATTTCAAATACATAATTGAAATTCTTTTAATTGAGATATTGGAATGCGTTCGGAAATGGAATGAAACTACAGGCTTAGCGCTTTCCGACTACTACAGGCTTAAATTAAGAATACGCTCAATGATTTTTATGCTCCAAATAAATTGACACATCATTTAAGAAAGACTAAAGATCGTCAGATTTAAAAAAATTTCAACGTTAAATTGTGTCAATTTGTTTTAATCGGCTCTTCAAATTTTATGAAAGTTCAACATTAGGAAATGCAAACATGGATCAGCCTGCTAGTGTAGTACCTCTATAGAATCTAAACATCAATCTGTTCCAATCTTACAACTATTTTTGTACCTGTATGAACTGCTAGGAACTGAAATGTTTTTTAATGTTTATTATTTGCATACGGGGACTATAATTTGTTTATTCTCAGATCCGTTTTTTGTAATCAATATTTTCCATACGATTATTCCGATTAAATCTGAGTACTTATGCAATACTAATGTATATGAAAGTATAATTTACATAATATACACCGTGTATATTACTTTAATTAGGGTAATATACGCAATATACACCGTGTATATTACCCTAATTTGGATAAAGTAACTCATTTAAGTTTAGCTGTAATACAATTCAGAATAATTTGAATTAATTCTAATTCATTCTAAATTTCCGTAAATTTATATTCCAGGTAATATAGCAAGCATGAAACAGAGTGACTATATTGTCATACTGATCTGTCCGAGATGCATAATTGTGGCTACTGGAGCCTACAGACGAGATGATTTTTCAATTTACAGAAGAAAATTTGCTATTTTTATTTGGAAACATTTGCTTTAACATTAATGACGGTCATAAAATTTTTTTGTCACTCTCCAATGGCAGAAATGTTCACGCTGCCATCGACACATTATCTAGTGACACAGAGATAGGATGATTTTTTACAGAAGAGGAATTTTTTTTAAATTGTTCAATGACAGATTACTTCTAAATATTTAATTAATGACTTGAGATAAGCCCATTAGACTGACAGCGAATAGATTTATGAACTACTATTTCTTTTCATTACATTTCAAAATTAAATTTTGAGAAAATTCGGATTCTCATAACAACGCAACTTGTACTACTACTGATTGCATTACACAATTATTCTCACAACAACGCACCTTGTACTACACTGACTGCATTACAATTATTCTCACAACAACGCACCTTGTACTACACTGACTGCATTACAATTATTCTCACAACAACGCACCTTGTACTACACTGACTGCATTACAATTATTCTCTTTGCGTATCAAACGAATTTAGAAAAAAGGTCATCATATCAGCAGGTGTCGTCCTTAAGGAGGATAATGAAAACACGCCACTGATTACAATGCAGGGCGGCGGACTTGTTAATGTCTCTTCTGAAACTAATTGCTTCGGAACTTTATTACCTGAATACGAAGTGCCAATTGAAAACGGGCCAAACGAAAGAGCAGAAGCAAGTAATGACCTCGACAATCTTATTTGCCGAATCAGTCAAAAGTTAAAGAGCTGGTGATCGAATGGTGGATCTTAATGAGGAATTAAACTTGTTAGTGCGCCAATTCCATCCACATGCCTTCTATTGGAAATAAAGAAATTATATTGCATTTACTCAGCTTTTCAGCGATAAAGTATACAAATTTGCTTTCATACTGCTTTTAGGAGGCTGAAATTCAAGTTTAAACATAAACATTTTGTGAATTAGGAAATGCTTTAATGATATTAAGCAAAAATATAATTACAGTTAAAATTAGAAGCAAAAAATTATTTTGGGTACGCTATTGGACTAATTCTGAAGACGGCTTAAATTTGAATTAAAATAATCTCTGTTAAAAATTTGGATATTATTCCTGTGAATTAAAATAGATCAATAGGTTAGCATTCAAGGTTATAGGAATTTTCTTTTAATTTTTCTTTAGTTTATTTCAATTTTTTATGAAGTATTAGTTCCTTTACATTACAGAGATTTTTCCCTATCTCGTTGAAAAATTCTTGTCCGTGTAAAGAACATGCCGAGAATCAAAGGATTCGGCATACGGCAAAAGGATTCGGCAAAGGATACGAATTTCCAAGACGTAATTAAATGTGATCCTACAAAATCTCGGTATATCTGAAGTTTTTTCCTCAAGCGCCAGGGTGTCAACAGCGAATTTCTTGGTTAACTAATTTGTTTTTTTTTTTTGCGCTCGTGTACTAACTGATTGCAGTTTTTACACCCTGGAAAAAAGGGCAATTAAAAGAAACAGAAATTTCACTGATAAATTCTTTTTCGTTTATATATTTTAATATATACAAATTGTTACATATGATGCTGAGAAGATTCCTGATGAGTTTTCTTCAGTTTTACTGGAGAATTTGTAGTACTGCATTTCGTACTACAAAGTACTCTTCACTACGCGAAGAAACTGAAGAAAATTGGCCGTCCTATACAGAGAAGGGTACAAGGTAATGCGAATGTTTCGGTAGGCTTCAAAGGGATTCTGTTGGCTTATCAGCTTCTGTCCGCTGAATGTCGCTGCCAAGAAGTGCGTTTGCCAAGGACAAACGAAAGTCTCACGTTCAAAAAGAGTGATCGACTTATCACACGAGCTTCTTATAAAAAAGGTATTAACATTAGGACTGAAATGAGACTAATATGGCCTACAGTGATGTTTATTATACGACCTGGTGCTTCAGGTGCGCCATTTGAATCAGGTTTTCCCTGACTCGGTAATATTTAATTTGACCAGGAAAACTTACACGTGACATTTTTCCTAATAAATAAACGCGGTAGTTTCTTAATATTTATTCCAGAAACTATTCACGTATTGAGGCTTTTAGTTGTCTAAATAATTTCATAATAAATTAATAATTGAAATACTTAACAAAATAGTGACATGACTGGAAACGTAAAATAATGTATACTGTATCTATACGTAGTGTATATAACAATTTTAGAATCACAGTCATTTTCGATGAACATAATCAATAAAATTTTTTCATGGATATTGTTTGAATTTTGTCTATGTAGTTAGTAGCCCTACTAAAAATGCGAGTTTGCGATTCATTTAAAATTTAACTCGTTCATCGAAAATCAAATGCACCCTATTGTCGTAATGCTTTGTGTGGTATATAATAACATCACGGAAATGCAATATTTTTTCATTTCAGTGCACAAGTCACAGTCAAACTAATCACATGGTGAAATACCCAGATATAGGATATTATTAAATGAATGTACCACTCCGAAGCTTGTCGGGATAGATAATCTGTGAGATCCGAGAATCTCTTCGTCACGCATGACGCCTGTCGATATAAAACTGCAGTAAAATGCAAGAAGCTTCTCGACTATCAGATGCCAGATCTAGAATAATCTAGATCTAGAATAAAAATTTTTCAGCAATTCCAGTTCTTTACGGAACAGTATTTAAAAGGCAAATAAAAATTGACAATGCCTCGTTCTGCTTCAACAAAGGAACAATCTTTCTTAACGCGCTTGTCCAACAGTCGTGTATGTGTCGGGCGCATAAAGACCAAGATTTTTATGCTAATTAATTTATTTATAAATTTTTGTAAATTGTAGTGTAATTTATTACTTAGATCAATCAGCTCTCCGTTACATGTGTATTCGAACAGAAAGCTCCTCCGATCACAGGCGTAGTGTTTCAAAAAATATCGGTACTATTTTACGGCCGAAGAGATCACGATGACTGGAAGTTTATTGCTCGATATTATTTAAATTGTTCTCACTTTGAGTGATGCACTGAGTTCAGATAACGTTCAAGCTAACACACGATATCATTGATGTCGTCTGATGATGTGCGTTTTTTAAAGTTATACAAATGGATAAAATATTCACACACGCTGTATAGCGCATAAATAATACAGCATTTCAATGATTCATGTTTCAACAGAAATTGAGAACAAGATTTATTTACCGCCAATTTATAGCACACCACTCAAAATTCTGAGTGGTGTGCTATGTTTTAATAGTAAGCCAATCGCATGTTAACGTCAGTTTTATAAGCTCCAACGTACACTGAGAAGCAATTATTATCTTTATGTTAAATAATGTTCTAATTTTACAGACATATAACATTTACCACTAGCGACAGAGGTACTGTTTTATTCTTATGGTTTCTGAAAATATAAATTAAAAAATTCTCTACAAATGTGACGTGGTAACTCATAGCACGAGAAATTAATAAAAAAGTAATAAGTAAAATTGTTTCAATTTTTATCTTGGACTAAAAATTTAAGGCAACTACAGGTAGTTAAAGTTCCTTGAACTCTTCCCGGATAAGATCAACCGAGAGTGAATCATGACCTTGAGACTTTGCTATAAAAATCTCAATACAGACTAAACTAAATCCAAGGATGATCTCAGTTATACACACGACGATGCAAGGGTTCTTACTCGCATAAACAGTGTTGCAGTCCCCAAGGCCATCTAAGGTTTGGCGGAGTCCCCCCCCGAAGACCACACTTGGCACCCGCACTGCGTTTGTTGCCACGCTGCCTCGAGGCTCGAGCTGCTCGCTACTCAACTCATCAGTTACCTCCGCTGCGGCCGGCAGGAAACCCAGCAAGCCGGCTTGCTGCTCACGCCGCGTCACCAGAGTGGCTGAGAGGTGAACAACCCTCCGATCTAGCACTCTGGAACCGTCGGTCCCTCGGTGAAGACTTCAAAAAATTGTTCATCTAAGTGTTCAAAATTGTACATCATCGAGCAGGGGTAATATTTTTACTGGCTGAAAAAAGTTAAAGCAAAAAAAAAGAAGACTGCAAATAGTTGAAATATGTGCTTGAAATTTGAAAATAGTATCTGCTTCTGCGATTATAGAATATAATCATAGAATATGCTGCTGCAATTACGATTTTCGAGCTTTCAGCCCAATTTAGGCTGAAGTGTGATGGTGAACGTTAACTGAACTGGACGGGCAACCTCGACATTTTTTCAATGCAGTTCACGATAATCAGTTGTTCAAATTAGATCTCGTGTGTATTATTCCCAAGAAATTGTTTCATGCGAATTCGACCCAACTCAGAATAAGAATATCACTCAGTGCATGAATATAAAAACATGTCATACGGATCTACCCATTATCTTCATAACCATTTTATGCAAAACGTTTATCAAGTTCAAGTTCGTAGGTAACAAACATTTCATATTGGTCATACATTCTGACGTTCGCAGTTAAGCTTACTTTAGAAACAAATAAGATCTTCAATTCATCGGCGATTTTACCAGTACATTAGGAAGCATTGCTGTTTGTATAGAGCAACATCGAGCGTCTTCCGGCTGTCAAGCGTGTACTTGAGACCAGCAATGCAGGTTATCATGAAGAAGCTACACACCAGTTCTGCAGAATACAGCTGGTGACGACCATACGCCGCTCAGTGGGCAGGCTTCTCCACACTGCAGGATTAGGTGCTATTGACGGCAGAGGCTCTTGAGGTCCTTCATCGTGACCCAGTCCCGAATACGGCTTCTAAGAACCGTCTTCTTGCTCGGTTAATATAGAAAAAATATACGTCGTGATAAAATTGAAACGTATTTATTACGAAGATTGGCTGTTAAAGAAGTGATCTGATTGGACTTGGTGAACATTTTTCTTAATAACACCTTCCTAGAAAACCTAGATGTTGGTTAATCTAAGTGCTTCCTGTAATCAAAAAGTGGTTTTTAAGAAGTAAGTAGTTCATCGAAACGAACTTGAACCCGAAAGTTTTTCAGTAAACCTGAAACTTTCATCACTATATGAGCTGCAAAAATTTGGATTAAAAGTGCAATTAAAGAAGAGAAGGTGGTCAGTTGCTGTAGAAATGTTGATTCCATGTCGGCAGTTTTTGGTGTTGTGCTTCGTCCTCCGAAAATCATCGGAGCCTTGATTGGCTATAAAAATATACTTCTATGCCATAATTCTTCGGTAACTCGAAAAAAGTTTGAGAAAGCATAACTTAATTTCAACATTCAGACCAATAAACAATCAAACACAATCCAAAAAATCTCAAAATTACTCGTTTTGTTCTACAATATCAGGAAAGACGAAGGTAAGGCCAGATTCAATAATATATATTTTTTCTATGACACTTGTATTCCAACAAATTTTGAAAAAGTACCTTAAATTTTTTATTTCACGATTATATTTAATCTATTTATGTATTTTTATGATTAAGTACCCATGAATATGCTTACGATGATCAGACATTGAGGTCGCAATTTACTGATAATCGATCTGCAGCGGTTCTCAAGTTGGAAGTGTTTCACCACCTGTGTTCTGCAAAACGCTTTAATATTTGTGTTGTTGAAAATAATTTTCATGGAGGTACTTATATTATCAGTCTGCTTATATCGCAAGTTCACAAGGAATTTAAAAGTAAAGAAAACGCCAAGAAAATTCACCATATCGATATTAAAATGTTTAAAAATATTAAAAAAAAATTTTAGTTTGTCGAACTGATGATGGAGCTGGACTCCGAAACGTTTTCGATATCGATATGGTGAATTTGCTTGGCGTTTTCTTTGCTTTTAAATTCCTTGTAAATTTTCATAAAGATTCGAGTTTCGATTAGAAGAGCTAGTCGTAACTCATGGCTGAGGCTGATTTCTACGACAGTTTTCGAGTGTGTTTGGGTTAAGCTGCTAAAAATACAGGCGTCCTTGAGGCATCCCAGACGGGATATAGTCTCCGTAGCTGCGACTGCGCAGGCGCGGCAGCTGAATAGTGAAAGAAGCACGCGGCTCTTCTAACTGTGCATGGCTGAAATGCTTGCTCTTTTCTTTGAAGCCTTGGCACAGAATCTATACACTCTAGAGTAATTCTAGTTCTAATTAACAAGATTGAAATACCAACAATGTCCTAGATTGTTTATTCGGTCACTTAGAACTGAAGGTTACTGTGAAACTTCAAGTTCACATTCGCAGCACAAAATATGTTACACAACATGCGTCTCTGCCAACATTAATTTTTGTTTAGAGCTGAAAAATGTTTTTAATACCTTTTATAGTTATATTATTGCGTAAAATAAAATAAATTGCATCATTTCTTGTGACGAATTATTCACACGTAACATGCGATGCATAATCATTTATTATCCACCAGGGCGAAATAAATTTAAGTGTTTTCACAACTTTTTGTTCGTTGTAACGAGGATAAAATGTAATAAAAACTGAAATGAACGAATTGGAACAATCGCGCATTTCAAAAGGCATGTGACGTTGATTAGATTAATCAAAATTATAAAATGGGAGTCAATCAAAGTAATCATTTGAATAAAGTAATCAGAAAAAAAACCTAATACCTATCTATGAATTTAGTTAGCAATATTTAGATGGTTCATGGAATCGAAATTTTACTCGCGTTTTGAATACAATTTCTACTAATATCTCGCAGCATCGATGATGTTCTAGTCGCCAATTGAGGAATTGACCTGCGACTACTTATCCCTACTTTCAAACAATTCTTGAACGTTATGAACAGCAAGGCACTTTGAGTATTATGGCATCAGGCCTAGTGCATTTTCATACAATTCATTTTTTCTGCTCCCGATAATGAAAGGCATCAATACAGTGCTATTTCATGCATGTTTACATTGCTTTAATTCAGAGGACATAAGAAACTAAATTGTGTGGGGTGAATGAGAATTTAGGAATCTTATTCTACGATAGTAAGCTATTTCCTTGATAAAGTAAAGTTCTGTATCGTAAAAAAAACAGATAATATCCTGGGTACAAATTTATTCTGTAAATTATGCAAAATAGTTATCAGAACACGTTTGAAACTATGTGTCAATGTAATTGTACATGAGCATTCTTAACCGTTTGAAGGTCCCTTATTTTCTCCATATATTTTAAACACAACTGAGTCTCGCCCATACGCATATGGAAACAATGACCACCATGACAGCTGTCACATGATCGGAATAATTGATGGCATATAATAAATTATATAACATACCTTTATGCAGGTACAATTATGATTATTGTGCATACCGGACACAATATCCAAGCTAACCATCAGGCTGATTGTTTTCAAAGTAAATTTTTCTATTTTAAGCTTTTAAGAATTGTAAAATTTGTTTTTCGATATTCCTTAGATACTTTTGCTTGAGACATTCAAGACTTCTAGTATCAGTAGAATATTTTTACATGACGATTGTATAAAGAAATATATATGAAATTTTTTCATGACTATATACATTACATAATTGTACATCACTGCATAATTTCATCAAGCGTAGGATGTTTAGATTTGCATCTCATGCAAGTGACGATTATAAACGATATGGGGACATGGTAGAGAGTTGGCAGAGACAGCGTGAACAAGTCTAAAAATACGCGAGCCTCATGCTAAAGCTGGCACTCCTTGCTCAAGTGCATGCCGAGACATCTATATTTGCTGACAATATTGGTCAACATCTTTAAATCAACGGGATAACGTCCGAGCCATCATCTCTGAGATCTGCATGGAAAGCCCGCGGTCCTTCCAAAAGTACTTTTCGACTCGCTCAGCTCCGTCCACAAATTTTTGAAAGAAATTTCGTGTTGGCAGCATAATAATAGTCTCATTTCGAAATATGCATTTGGGATTTCTTCTCAAGTTCTCAGTCGAGTACAATAAAAATCTTAAATTTTAACGAGCTTATTAGTAATTTTAACACTACATGATGAAATCCCACGAAGATTTATACGCTCGAAAAGTTAACAATATTTGCAGACAATGAGGTCCATACATTTTAATTTAACTACCTCTGTAGTAGAAATTAATCCTGAGTAAAATTCGCAAAAATTCTGCACAATTAATTTGGCCCATGATGACTCAATAGAACCAAGCATTTCCGCTGATGAATAAGCGGAATCAAAATAAACTGTAAAGAACAAGTTAGAAGAAGCTTTATGTTAAATATTATTATTTAACTTCAAGTTTGCACTAAATTTTGAATATGTAGGTATCTCTATATTTTATTGTTTTCGCCCACGTTTTTATAGCTCGTGATGTGATGAGGTAAAAAATTCCTGAAACTATATATACTAGATTTTAAAATTTGTCTAGTGTGAAAACTTTATTTAAGGAATCTGATACGCGTATAATTAATCCATCGAATTAAATAATTATACAGCAATGTTCTAGTAAAATTAAAATCATTTTCTTTTCGACATATATTTTTGTAAGCTTAGCTTTATTGAAGTAAAACGTGCCCTACAGAAATTTTCTCATTTTTTCTTCTATTTTCAGACTGGCGGCCAAGATGAATAACGAGACGAAATTTTGTGCAAACTGGTAAGTAATTCTTACTTTTGCGGAGAAATATCCTATTTTCAGAAGCTCCTTGCTTATACTTTTCATGTCTTAGTTTCATCTGTCGCAACTGTAGATTAGTAAGCTTAGCAGATGCAGTTTTATAGAGTTGATGTTAATTTGAAAAACATGACACGATTCAACATTACTGACGTAAATAACCAATGCATATTGCATATTATTGTTATTGCATATTAGTTAAGAACTTATGACGGCGATAATACTTTAATTCGTGCAATGGTAAACATATATTCAGATCAATTATAGGTAATTACACATGTCGATATTGTCCACAATATGAATAACTGTTTTTTCCCCATTCCGGATCACTAAGATTTCCAGTTCGAGGAGAATGTCGTATTCTGCATTCGTTCAATGTTTGCAACTCTATAATTTTGCCGTGAAGCCCATTTTTTCAAAATTAGATTCTTTCAAAATAATAAAAAACGAAAGAAATCTCCCTCAGACAAATTGAAATCGAAGAACAACCTCGATTACAAGTAGATTTTTTTTAAACAACGTTTAATCATTATTATTTCAACGTCGGATGCCGGGTGCTATTTTTCAACGTCAGATACCTGGCTTCAGATGCTTAAAACGGTCCCCGAAAGCCAAGTTACTGCCCAACCCATAAAGCAGTGTGCATTATCATGTTTAAATTTACCGTCCCCTTGAATTCTCTTTCATAAATATTATCAAAATTATGTCTTATACAGTCTCATGACTCACAGTTTTGTTTAGTCCCGTTTAGGTCTTCGCTCAGTTGTATATTGAAACTCGTCCTGCTCAAGCTTCACTAACGCGGACTAACATGCAGCCTCAACACAGACTAGGCATTGTTTGTGATACTCTGAAATTCAGGAAATAGGAAATAATCCTTAAATCACTGCCTCAACTCTGACCTGACATTGTTTATAATGCCCTGAACCAAAAGCATCACTGGCTTTTAAGGACCTGAAGGGCTATTCCTCCTAAGATTTAGGATTAAGATTTTTTCAAATTTAAGTTTAAAATGACTGGTTGTATGACTATTTGTTTAGACCTGTATTCAGGCCTCATATATTGAACTTATCCGTTTTTTTTTAGAAAAATAATATTAATATTTTTAATAAGTGAATATAGGAATGACCTGATGATGCTACTGCACTAAACACAAGAAATACTGCTTAACTCCCAGCCAGAACACGGACATTGTGTTTGTTATATTGCACGAACTAAACTACTTTTCTGACATCTCCAACACTCGCCGGCAATTGTCTGTTTACCATAACCCTAAAATTTATTTCGAAGTTCAATGTAAACTTTAGCGGATGCTGCGGCAATTCAGTTTGGCAGCTGGAGCCATGATATTCAGGATGGCACCAAGACAGAAGATGTCATGTGTCGACGCAAAACAAATTGCCTCTGGCATGCGAAATGCTTTGCAGTGGCACAAAATAACAGCACGTGTACGTGACCTTCAAGGGTAGCCAAACTTGTTACCGCGCTGAGATGAGTACAATAAAGTCAGATATTTCTGAACGACTCTTGATGACATGTCGCAAAACTTCAGTGGCCATGGACTTCTCCTTTCTCGAGCCGCTTTTTGGCAGAGGGTTACGGCATTAAGTAAATTTACATCGTTTTATTTTGCTTTCACATTATAAATGTGCTTCATACGTAGCTTTTACAATAAGTTTATAGGACAAATGATTCAACAAATAGGTAGCAAATAATCAGGATAAAACATCACATGTTTATCAGAATTTGACGATTTGGCAGTTGATAAAATAATTTACTTTACGATTTAATTTCAATTCAACGAGATAAAAAAGAACTAATGTAGCTATAGGTGCTCTGTGGCTCAAAGTTTTCACGAATTTATCGTCGAGAAAACTTGAACGAACGAACTCCGTATCATACAGTCCCTTTGACAGCTCAGTAAAATGGTCAGCGATCGATCCCGTTGACGTATAAATTCATCAGGCAATACCAACTCTTTAGAATTTGACTTTGCATTTTCATGGAAATTTGATAGTAGGTGCATCTCAATCATCTTCGTATTCAAAATGAAAAAATATATACATTTAAAATACATTCATTAAATGTTTTGTAACCCTACCAGAGCCCCTTACGTAGTAGCTTGCTCAATGCGATGCCGAGACAATCGACGAGCTCCAAATTTAAGTATAGGTTACCTGCCTTAGAGCGAAACTTAAGATATTGGCAATTTAATACATCCTTCAAATGACAAGGAAACGCACTTCGCTTCTTATGTATGTTCAGTAACTTATTGGTATATAATGAGAACAATTAGAGCTAAACTTCATCCGCTTATTAGAAGATTTTGTTAAAATTATCGCTTTCAAATATATTAAAAATGTAAAATGTGAAATGATCACGTACTTGACACATGGGTTTTGAAGCAAATTAGTAAGGTTCGCGTGAATTATATGGGAAGAGAACTTGCACCGTTGAAGATTGTTCTCAAAGTTACCCATGTATAAAGAACCTATCAATTATGAAAGTAAACTGAAGAACACATATAAATTTTAAATTGTGAAATTGAAACTGAACTGCAGTCCTCATAGCCCAAAAAAATAATAATTCCTGCAAAATTTTATTCATATTGACCTAAAGTTAATTCTCGGCTTCTCTCAAATAAACAAAAATCGACTAGGTATATGAATATTTAAAGGCTTGCTGCATGAAAGGCACTGAAAGAACAAGCGAGTCGCTCTGAGCGAGTTATGCGCCTTGACAGCTACTCCGAGGACGATAGTGACGGCACGCTCAGGCTGTAACTCAAGCCTAATATTTAGCCTGCATTTTAAAATGGACTGCATGAAGACGTATCAAAATACATCATTTGTTCCTTTCACGCTAACTCTTAAGAATTTTAAAAGTGGGAGACGAGATAGTCATAGAGCATCGAACATCTGACATCATGTTTAGCTATTTTGTAGCAGTTGTGAATGTGGTGAAACCAGTTATTAGTTTGATTAAGAACGTGTTTCAGAAGTGGCTTCATAGGTCCTATTTAAATTCTGTGGGTTTTTAATGGGTTGTCAATTTATTTGGGTTGTCAACATAATAATTGAAGACAAATTATGATATTTTATGAGTTGTCGACTCCAAATGATGTTGAGATTTCTAAAATGATCTTTTTGTGAGCGTATGTTATTGAGTTTAATCTTACATGAATGAAATTGCATGCATTTCTCTGAATTATTGCCGCCATATTGAGCCACGCGTCTTGCTCAAGCAACTCAACTCTTGCACCTGCAGGGTAATATCCTCGGGTCTATATTAGCGAGTGGTAACAGCGAGCTAGCATCATGCCAGAATCCTTAACCAGCATATGATTTTATCGGCACACGCGTCTAAATTTTTTGCTTACTTGTGTGTATATAAACTGATTATGTCATTCTAAAAATATCATGTCTGCGCTACTTGCGATCACGCGTAGGTTTGGCGGTTACCTTGATTTGTGGCTATCTTGGGTGATGATGAAGCTGAAGAGGCGAACTGAAAACGTCCCCCTCGTTTTTATCGATGTGTATGGCAAGGGACCATTTCCTGATGTGTCTCGTTGCCGGAAAAAACATGGTAAGGATGAAAATATTGAAAGGGTATAGGTTTGATAACCATTCCTCCAAATTTAATGATGATGACATTCTCATTAAGAATTTTGCATTCACGTCTGAGCTTGTCATTGAAATGTCTAAACTACAATGGCATCCTTCCTTCAGATTTCTAATCCAAATTAAGAACGGGATTCACGTACAATTTTTCACGCCAAGGTACTGATTATTTTCCATAAAATTTGTAAGAGAATTTTTAGTGCAAATGGTAAATACCTTTTGACCGAATAGTTTTACTTCTGTATTGCTGAGCAAGTATAAGATCTTCATTATTAATAACGACTATAAATAGTTATCTTGACGGCGAGTCATATAATTTGCTTTGTTTCTACAATTGCGTCATATTTAAACGGTAATTAATTTCAATTCGCTGTGTCCAAAAAAAGTGCATATATTGGGTAATTTTCGTACGTTACTGCAGTCAGATATGAATCTAATACTTTAACCTTCATATATAAGAACACATTATGAGGTGTTAGTGTGACAATATTTATTCCCATTAAACATTAAAGGCCAACGAACTTGTGGAAGTTTGTTTGCTTCCCGTGAATTGCGATGGCTTCTCAAGGTCAGTGTAAGGCAGGAGGCACCTGCTGCGGCTATCACAGTCAGCCTCGCTAGTCTATACACACGTGTTTATCTCACTGCGGAAACGTCTTGATGTTCCGTTGTTTTTGTGCAATCGTATTTAAATTAAAGTAAAACCTCTTGGATTTATTTTATATATCTCTACCAGCTTTGCCTACTAATTATCTTTCATTTCACTATCCGTTTAATGAAAACCGAAGCTGGGAGTGTGATGTTAAGACATTGGTGTACCTTGTTAGTTTTACGATTCAGTTACGCAGAATTCTATCAGGAATATCGTTATGGTGTGACTGCCTAACGAAACTGCCCAATTCAGATCTAAAATTCATAAAATATGATCAAAAAGCTCGGAAAGATTTGAAATATTCTCACACGATTTGCTAACGGGCTCGAGACTTGAAAAGTTTGAAAGTTCAAGATGAATCACTATGACATGCTTAAAAATAAATTTCTGTCAAATTTTATGTAGACTTTCATATACAGGAATATATCGCATATTATCACATCATATTGGTAATTCAATTCTATTTATATTTCTATATCAATTCTATTTCTATTGCAATATTTTTTCACTTAGATACTGCGAATCAAGTGCTTAGTAATTTTCATCCATTCTCATCCTTTATTGTGCCTATTTATTTTTTACTTGCTTTAAACTTATGTGTAACGTACCCTCGAAGTTCGTTTGAACCAGATGTCTCAATAACTGCTTCGTTGAACAATAATAATAATAATAATAATCTATATTATGACCACTTGCTTTTCTGAACTAAGGAGCCGTTTTATATCGTTCTCTTACTTTCCGTATGATGAAATAACACATGAATAAGTAGCAAAATCAATGTAACCCAATATGAAAAGCAAAAAAATATACTTCATTCAGTAGACCCGAATCGTACTCATTGCTTATCAAATTACTCTAGCTAGCAGCCTTTTGTTAATTTTGTTCACGGATTCTTTAAAAATTTCAAGAGCACAAACCACGTTCGCCAATCTGTTCATTGGTCACAGAAATTTGATACAGACACATATTTGTGTGGCGATCGAATGAGGTTCAGGCGCAGCTTTGATCTCACGGGGAAGCCTTTGATTTCTGCCTGCATCGCACATCACCTCTAACCAATTACGGACAGCAACGAAGATCGGCGCGGTTTTAGCCTTTGAAGTTTTGGTCTTTTCTTGTATTTGTTTTATCCGTTCTGACACAAAAGCGCCTCGTAACAGACTAAATAACCAACAATAAAATTACTGATTTTTTTAATAGAATTCCACATTTTTTTATAGCATGGCCGAATTTAATCAGGAATATTTAGTTTTAGAATCAAGCATTTGTCTTTGAATTTAAAAACTGTAGAAATCCTACTTTAGATGATAACAAACAGTTTTGTGTCCGGCTATTTGTTTCATGTTTTTTCACATTGCATGGATATTTATCTTTCCATGATTCGTGTAGTTCTTGACTAAAACGTAAGTGCAGGCAAAGCTTTTACGCTTAACATTGTTTCCGTTCTGAATCACATTTGCATGGTGCAAAATTGTTATCGCGGAACTTTTAACCCAACTAATAAAAGAATAATTGAAAGAATCCTTAATATATTGCATCAGTTAAGACGTAGATATTCCAAGCTGTATTTTGCACCGCCATCTAAATATCGCATCAATAATTGCCGCGAAATGTGTAAAAAAAATCCACGGAATTTGTAACTAACATTAAACTATCTTTCGCTATTCCCGTGCAGCATAAATTTGATCATATTGTTGATCACCTTTGGTGAATTCTACTCATTTCACACTTCATTTTACAGTTGAAATGATTCATTATATTGATTCATTTTTAAATGCTTCAATACAGCTAGTCAGACCCTACAAATCCACATTAGCAAACAAATAAAGCTACTATAGTCAAACTTGATTTGTAGCTCATGAAATGGATTATTATCGTGAGCAGAGCCTTTTTAGGCTGCACAGTCTAAATACTGAAAAGTGTTTTTGGTGATGAATATTGTGCGAATAAGTTCAATGAGATGAATTTTAATGACTCTTATTCCGAAATATTTGAGTTATGAGCTTCATAAATCTTATTCAATATTATTGAAGAAGCAGTCAGTACCTTACGATATTTACGATATTTTACGGTATTCGATTACGATATTTTAGGACACATCAATTCAAATAAATTAATTAGTGGTTACTGAAGAAGCGCTCTGGTAAATATCGCTTGTGTTCACAGGTCACTCTTTTCTTGTATCTATGAGTGTGCCATGAATAATATTATTGATGTTAAGTTAAAGTCTGTTTTTAGACTGTTTTTGTTTTGAATTGTTTTTTAATTTATTTAATTGCTTACGCAACCAATTACTTATATATATTGTAATATTATTCTGTGTAGTTTTTGTGTATTGTTAATCCGTAAATGTTGTATAATTGTTAAGGTTTTTAGTCAACATTATAATCTATAGATACTATACGTCCATTCAGTCTCTACTGCCAACCGCATTTCCAATCACATCCATTATGTTTACGCGTATTTGGCTTATTATCAAGGTTTCAGACTTGAGTGGAATAGTATTTCGGAACTCAGGGTTACAATAGTTCAATGTGAATGATGTTTTAAATTTGTAATTAATAACGACCGTGACTTTTAATTCAGTTGGTATATTTCTTCAATTTCAGGAACACATGCCTGTCATGAAGGGAGTAACTCCTATTGCAATAACCATAACTAGATTCGCACCTGAACTAACTGAAACTTGCGCATTTTGTAATAGCTTTATCACTTATGTTTGGAGACGAGAGTGAAATTTACGTTATATACCCGTCGAAAAACCTCAGCTTGAAATATAACCATGAATATACCCTGACCTACGAGAAGATTTCGTGCACATTTCCAGCGGCAATTTGTAAGTCCTGAGTTACTTGTCTTGGGCAAATAGAAATCATTTGCAAATTATTAGGTGACCATGCAAAACTTATCGCTCCTACTTTTCTATCTACTTTTATTTCAAGACTTAGCTCTTAAATTGTTTTCGAGAAATAATATACTAATGCACTAGAAAGCTAATAGGAAAAAACTGTGCCCTAGTTCACGCAACGAGCTCTGGCTATTTTGAGCAAAGCTTTAGCAAGGAAACACTCGCGCACTGTAACTTCAAAGACCGCAGTGCCAAGTGCAATGTAAGACCACAGTTGCTAACTTCACACGATGACGTCGAAGCTTGCATTCAGTCTTCATAATCGCTTGCCAAGACTGGTTCATTGGCCGGGCTCTTGATGGTGATGAAAGTGTCTCGGTTTTTTATGTAACGCCATTGAAGAGATGGCTGCACGAGTCGCGTTCATAAGGACTTTGATGCAGCGGACAAGCAGAGTCTCGGGAGCATCTCGCGTTTAAAATATTCTCCTTTGATCGAGCTCCTTCTACTGCCCTGCTTCTGAATGGTGTTCATCTATAGACAAATTAAGTGAAATTACGGAATCCTCTTACAAGATCCGAGAAGTTCAATTTCGTTTGGGGTAGTTTTAATGGTTATTGCCCACATAACTGTCAACATCTCTAAACTTAAATAATAAAATTTAACAATTAAATCATTATAATTAATTAATTATACACAAAATTATGAATTATTTCCTTAGTGACACAAGAATTAAATCTGTGGGACTCGACTTTGTATAAGATGCTTTACATTTGTCAGACAAAACGAGCATTTTTTTGTAGAAAATGCAAGTATAGTTTAGTCTTGCATGTTTCTGACGTAATTGGGTTGCATTATTTTTTCATTTTGACATAAATTTTTTTCCCCGAAATCCAAGAGGCAAAATCAATCCTCATTTTTATATGTTTACTTCAATATAAGTTAAAAATAATTTTTCGAGCTTGATTATTTGCAGAAATTAAAGTAATAAATTTCTTGAACTCATATGCTTATCTGCTCTCAAAGCTCATTTCTTTCGCAGCAAAAAAGAAGTCGCCTCGTTGAACTTCACGGTGCATGTGGTGCACTGCACTCGGAACGTGGCTCAGTGCACCGTCTGTGGGGAGCCGGTGTCCCGGTCCCAATACCAGCATCACCTGCAGTCCCAACACGGCTCTCTTGACTGCAACAAATGCGGGGCCAAGGTGGAAGCCGTGAAAATCTTCACGCACCAGGTGAGAATAAATATAGTCATTAATAAATAAATCTGAAAATCTTAGGTAATCTCTAAGTTTAACTATCTCCAGTGGGGACACGAAAATCGTCACGCACCAGGTGAGAATAAATATAGTCATTAATAAATAAATCGGGAAATCTTAGGTAATCTCTAAGTTTTGCTATCTCCATTTTGGACACTAGGAAACTACATCTGCATGGTGAGTATAAATGGTTAGTCTAGATTAACTCAATCCCGTACATTATTTCTCAATTTTCATCTAAAAAGCATAGAAGGCATTTGCGAAGTTTAGAAATGGGATGGAAGACGAAACATCTAAACTTAACAGCTTAGCTGAGACCGAATCATCCTAAAGCGAACGCTTTAATAATGTGCAGCAATTTAAAGCATGTATTTGGAATGCCCTTCTCAACCATATAGCACTGAAGTTGAAATGTCTTTGTATTTATGTCTTATGTGTCTTATGTCTTTGTTCAGTAAACGTTCAGACACCTTCAGCCACTGCAGCTGAATATAATTATCACCACTCAGGCGCATAATGAAACAATTTACGAGTAAAAACTCCATCTCGTAAACCATGAAGCGTCCGCGTATTTGTCTTGCCCAAATGCAGGGAGGCGCAACTGTTGCTCAGACTTATACACGGCTTCGAGTTCCGCGTTATAATTAACATACATGCAAATCTGCGCTGTGAATAAAAAAGCTATTCAGATTCAGAATTTCGGCTTTGTGCGTTTATTAAACCATGTTAATGCTGTTTCATAATTTTTTCATAAGCTCAGGCTAAAAAAGTACATTTATAAAAGTTATTTAACAACAAGCCTATGCATAGGCTTTATTTCCTTGTCTACTTTACATTGGTAGTTCAATATGGCGTTGATGAATTGGAAGACGCATCTAGGTTGCTTAAATTCACAATCAGAATGAAACATGCCATAATTTAAGTTTCGGACCGAAAAAATCTTGCAGCGGGCTGATGAGGTGAGGTAATTATCACATCTATCCATCGCAATCTTGCTCACATCGACACGCCTCCTGAATATCTGGCCTCTTTATCGCTATAAGAAAAGTTGTACGCGTGAGGTACGAGCTGCTTTGATGGAGGTCTGGCAACCTGAGATGCAGATCGCTTATTTTTGTGACCCGAGAGATGGCTGAGATCATGCGGCGTCGGCGTCTTCTTTGATAATATCTAGAAGCTCGTATAAATATTCTAATGTAATTTATTAAGCGAGCGGCAATCGTCCACTAAAATGGTGGCCAGCATCCAAGTACTTGTGGCTTCTTTGATCTCGAATGCTGTAGCCTAGTAGCGCTCACTTTAAAAACACGGGCAATAATCTATTCTTCATAAGATGCACAAAACCCGCATTGCTTCGTTATAAAACAACATTTATGCATAATGCAATGTATTTTATTTGAATGACACTGAATTTTTTGTTTTGTGGGAGACTTTTTGACGTCTTCCCGTTGTTATTTCTCTGTATTCTATATTTTATTAATTAAACTGATGAAATGATCGCAACGACCTCGAGGCTGACCAAGACAAACTTTGTTTATCAGAGTTTGTTTGAGGTAAATGACTCGATCAGTTTTCTCGTTTATATTGTACTAAAAAATAGGATCATATGGGTTTAAATAAAGAAAATGAAATGAAATTAGCAGAACAGTTCAACCGAAAATCTTTGAAATTGAATGCATATGTTACGCATGAAGGGATTTTGAAGGGAAACTTACCGTTGAAGTAGCTTCCGATGTACCAAGCACTTCAAAGACTTCATAATGTTAAAGATAATTGAGTCGGAACATCTCCGGGTATTGTTATCTACAATTCGATCAACAAATTCGTATAGGCACTATTAATTCTTTGACATAATATCTTTCAAATTATAAACTATAGTTTAATCTAAACGAATGCGAAACCAACGAGAATGAGTACAAAAAACGTACCGACAGAAGTTTTTCTTCACTCCCTTTATAAGTGGTAGTTATGCCACTGTTTTGCCTGCAAAAATACCAGCAGGAGATTTCTGGTTGTACAAAACGTCAGTGTTTTAGTGTATGTGTATGCTTAGTGTATGTAGTACTTTTGACAACACCGAAATATATGCTACTGTCTTCCACAGAAAATCCCCACAGTGAAACTCACACGACAAATGTACACGATTTCATCGCAACAAATGTACACGATTTCATCTCCCTGAGACTCTCATGATCTGCTATGCTTAATGCTAATGTTGCTGCAAGACAGTTGCAGCCGTGTTTATTCACGTACAGTCTCAGGTTAAACGCTCTAGAATTTTGAGTTGCCCTCTTCAAAATTCAATAAAATACTTCACATGCAAAGACCGCTATTTAGACACATACATTTTAAATGTCATTTGAAACAATTTTCGGCGAAAAGTTTATACTAATGACTCGGTGATATCACTACGTTTCGGAAAGCCTTTAGAGGTCAGGCAATACATAGTTTATTTTAATTCAACTCAAATAAAGAATATCTCTATACTGCCTTCAATGGGCACATGGAGATCATTACTTACTTTGAAGTCAACCGAGCGAAGTATTGAATTTCAGCCTTAAAAACTATCTTAAAAACTTTACAACTCGACCTATTGCATTCACACGTGAAGAGAAAACTCACAAACCAACAGACAAAAAGCACAACTTATGACAATTTATGACAAACTGCTGAAAAAGCTATCAATCTATCAGACAAACAAATCGACTCATTGTATTTCAGCCCCCCAAAAAAGGCGATTAAACGATACGACTTATTGCATTTCAACACGAAAACACTTGCTAACAAACAAACAAAAGATTACACTTATTGAATTTAACATGAAAAATTTTATTAGGCAGCCAACATTGCTCGTTACATTTCACAAGGAAATAAAATTTCAAACAATAAAATATTTGATTAATTGCGTTTCAACACGAAAAAAATTTTCGGCAACCAGTATGACTTATTGCATTTCAACATGAAAAACTCACAAACAGACAAACAACACGCAGCAGCGTGAAGCAGTCGTACTCGCGACCTCGATCTGGAGGCCGGCATCTTTTCCCTGTTAATCTCTTGGACATTTGCTCATTTACGGGGACAAGTATTTAGTCCACCCTTGACCTAAAAACTCTATCCTGTGACCAGAATTTCTTACAGAGCTAAAGGCCATGTGTCTGTCACGACTTCACTTCTTCAGGAGACTCAGTGCAGCGATTGATGAGGCAGTAGATAGTGTCGAGGTGTACGAGTAGCACTGCGATACAATTAAAGGCTTGCTTCTGACGCAGTTACGTTTTTTGATATCCAGTGCATTCGATGTTGCAGACCACGTGATAAGACATCAACCTTCCGTGAAAGTCTGGGTGCTGTGAACAATCATTCAAAATGGAAGGAGGCTGCGATCCCCAACTGTACTGAGAACTATCAAAAGTCTTGTTTTTCTCCAACGAGCAGCAACAAAAGCCCTCTGAGTAACTTTTGACACCCGTTATGAGTGCCGAATGAAATTCCATATTTTTTCACGAGTGCAATGACCCCAATTAAATTTAGAACCTATCTCATATTGCAATGAATCCAATCAAAGTTAGAACCTATCTTATATTAAGGTTATGTTTTTATCAGTCCACGAAACTTGACTTCAGTGATTTCTTACTGTCCGTTTCAACGGGGATGAATATGTGAATCAAATACTCGTCGCTATTTGCTTATCAGGTGGCAGCTGCTATCGAGTACCTAAGAAGTGCTGGAAGAATTTGATTTGCGCAAATTAGGTTTAGCCCACAGAGTCCAGATATTAAATTCCAAGGCAGTTTTTCTCAAGTTTTTTATGCATTACTTCATAACTTTTACCACAATTTCTAACCTTGCCATGTGCCCAAATTTTAATCGAGGCAATGAATGCTGAACTAACTCCAGATATAAATACCTTAATTCATAATTATTGTCTTGAGCAATAATTATCTACTTCTCCTGAATACAAATAAATTGAAAATGTCTACGTACAAAATTAATCATAGGCCTAATGCTGGAGAGGCTATAAATGGCGATGCCTCTCCCTACCCTCTTCATATAAAAGAATAATTATTAACGGAGGTGCATTATGATCACAAAGGCGTCTTAAAATTCGGAATCTCAAAGGAAGATCTATTTCCACGGAAGCGCCTAAGCATTGCTGTAGCTGAGCAGTCTCGAAGCTTTGATAAATTATGCTTCAGAAACCCGCGTTAATTCCCCCTAGCCTAATTGGATGAGCCTTGTAATGAGTGTCGAAAGTCTAGGCCGCCATAATAAATTAAGCCTCAAGGAAGAATTTCTTAGGTTTCACATGCATAAGATTGCGCTCTAAATTCATCACAGGAAGAAAAGTGGCAAGGAAAATAAATAAACTCAAACTCTAAATGAGATGCGAGTTGATTTTCCTTTCCTTGCAATCTGTAATTTTATAAAAAAAATGTATTTCGCACGTATATCAGGGAAAAATGTATAAAATTTCATTAGAAACAAAATTTTTACTTATTAAACGTTTATGAATCTCATCGTTGGATATCGTCTGCTCTAACCGCAGCTGACATTTACACTCATTGCATTGCCATTGTCAGATTCTTGGCACAAGGCTCTTATGATATCGTCTTCACGGTATGTTCAGTGAATCTCCTACAGCCGCAGGTACGTATTACCTCTTCGTTATGTGGCGACTACCTCACGCCGTTCAATACCGATGTCTGCAATTGAGGTTACGTGTACTCTTTGCGTAACCCTTGCTCGCTCACAAATAAATAAACAAAATTAACCGCTGTCTGGGTCACTAGCTGAAGTGCGACCGCGAGGCAGCAGCTATTACTTACGGAATTATGCCAGCTTATGAAGCTCGGCTTCTGCTACAAAGCAGATGCAGATGCTTTGAAGGCACGAATTTTGTACGAAGCAGATACCGATGATTTGAGAGCAAAAATTTTAGCAAAACTTATGTGGATCATATGTTTTCGACTATG